TACCTTTCTTTATGTCTTTGTTACCTACATGGGCTCCTTCCCAGCAAAGCACATAAGCCTGTCTAGATGTCTTGAGAGGTCCACAACCTTCGCACCCAGAAGGCAATTCACCATGTGATTCTCCCAGTCATCATAAACTCAACTATCTATATGTCTAATAATCAAACCCCCCAGTACTATTATCTGTCTCTTCCTAATAACTGGAGTCCCCTCCCCCAGAGGGGTATCCTCGGTCTGAGAGGACACCATGACATCATCTGCAAGGAGTGTCCCAACTATGGGATCATTTCCCTCTGCTTCAGCTTGATGTTCTCCTTCCCCAAGACTTTCATCCTCCTCAATAGTATGGAAGCTGTCAGACTGTGGGTAGGACTGCTCTGCTGTGTCCCTGAAAGTCTCTTTGATGTACTTCTCTGCCTCCCTTAGCTCCTCCAGATTAGCTACTCTGGTCTCAAGAGCTAGTACTGGTCTTAAAGGCCATGAGTTGTTCACACCAAATGCATACATCTCCCCACGAGGCAGGTAATCATGCATGCTGCATTCAGTGCAATAAACTGGATAGCCCCCACTCTGCTGCTGGACTTCTGCCTGCATTCTCTTTTTACTCCTGTGGGGGTCTTTTTTTTTTTTTTTGGCAGGGGTAGAGGGGGTATTGGCCTGAGTTTAGAGTATGTTTGTTAGGTGTATCTGCCTCTCATGTTCCCTGTTTAAACATCCTCACAAAACTCCCCTGTTCACTAGTTCCTCCGATCATTTAGGTGCTGGCTTTTTAAACCCCTATTCTCCCTGAGTTTGCCCCGCCCCTTGTCAAGGGATCATAGGATAGTAGACTAAAGCCTGGTTTGTAAACTCTAAGCTTAGCCTAGCAGGCCGTTTGGTTCAGTGCACAGCCTCCAGAACAGACCACACTATCAACTTCAAACATGAAAGCACACATCAAACAACAAACTCATCCCAAGGGTCACATAGTCACTCCTCCTTCACCTGGAGAACTCCCTCGCAAAAAGGTGCTTGCTAGTACCTTGCTGCTGTATTGCCAGTCCTCAGATTGGTAGAGGGAAGGGAAGTTAATGTGAACATGTGTAATTTTTGGAATAGGGTAAATCAAGGGCATTTAAAAAATGTTGCTAAAGTCTTGGGAAGAAAGTCTTCGGGAAAAATGGTGCAAGCACTGAATTTGAACCAAAGAGCACCACGCGCTCAGTGATGAGTCTCAATGAAATCGGCACGAATAGCTGGGAAGGCAGCAAAAAAATAGCAGGAATTGAATGGCCACCTGCTTACACAACTTAAGAAAGAATATTAACCAATGCATAAACTATTTCACAAGTTCTTCCTGAGCTGCTGACTATCATGCAAGGCATAGGTGCTCCTTATTATTATTAAGCTTGTTTATTAGGACCCTAAGGATCCACCATGAGTGGAGCCCCATTGTGCTAGGCACTGTACAAACACAGTAGTAGAAGGTCCCTGCCCCAAAGAGGTTACAGTCTAAATAGACAAGACAGATACAGGGTAGAAGGGATAGAACACACCAGCAGAGGGAACAATGTAATGGCAGCATATGGCATGTCAGTGCTATGATTTTATTTATGGGGTGTGTGCCATTAGAAGGGGATAACCTAAGGGGAAAGAAATGAGAAGGGAGAGGGGACACTGAAGGAAAGGGAGGTGAGGGGACAGGGCAGGGGGAGAAGAGGGTAAGAGGTGAAGAGACTGTAAGAGAAGTGGCGGGAGAGGGCTGGAGCAGACAACCAAACAGCATAGGACAGAGAAAGTCCAGCCAAGACTGTAGAGCTCTATGAATGTCTGAGGGTCCATGCTTTAGCTGCTTCTGTAGATGCTCTTACTCAGTGTAGTCTCTGGCTGGTTCCTTTCTGCAGTTTTCCCTCAAGGCCATGTGGTTGAGGGGCATCACCTTGTGTCCTAGTTTACCTTGAGTGTGTGTGTGGGGTGTTTTCCCTTCACAGTTCTGGATCATGGAAGAGTTCTGGGGGACAGGTGGCTCTGGGTGGACACATCATACTCCTTCCTCCCTGTGCAGCAGTCCCTGATTTGGCTGCTTCTGCAGCTGCTCCTATGGACTGGAGTCTGGATGAGCCTTGGTTGACCACCTCCCCATTGCCATTCCTCCACCAGCATTTTGTATACACTATGGATCTCCTTTGGATAATGTTTTTGAGGCACCTAACATTTCAACACCAGCAGTCTGGGCCTTATAATTGCAGTAGACCCAGTTTATAGATTCATAGATTCTAGGACTGGAAGGGACCTCGAGAGGTCATCGAGTCCAGTCCCCTGCCCTCATGGCAGGACCAAATACTGTCTAGACCATCCCTGATAGACATTTATCTAACCTACTCTTAAATATCTCCAGAGATGGAGATTCCACAACCTCCCTATGCAGTTCTGTGATCAGTTTGGTATGGATGGTATTCTTCAGGCTGTTTTCCTGTTATTATTGATGATGATGATTAAGGATCAGATTTTGTCAGGGATATTTTTAGTAAAAATCATGGGCAGGTCACGGCAATAAACAAAAATTCATGGAAGCCCGTGACCTGTCTGATTTTTACTAAAAATATTCCTGACAAAATGGGGAGGGAAGACAGCACCCACAGCAGCTGGGGGCTCTGGGGTCCCCTCGTGCCCCGCCAAATGGCTAGCAGCTGCGGGGTCCCCTCGCCACCAGCCGGGGCTGAGCAGCTATGGGGTCCTCCCTCCCACCCGCCACTGCTGGGCAGCAGCGGGGGGCCCTGCCGCCCATGGGGAGTGGGAGATCCGGGGTCCCCTTGCTGCCTGCGGTGGCTAGAGCTGTCGGGGGTGGGTCCCCTGCAATCCTCAGTGGCTGGGAGCTGTGGGATGCCCCTGCTGCCCTCAGCGGCTGGGCACTGCGGGGTCTCCCTGCTGCCCAGGGGCCAGCAGTGGCTGAGAGCTGCAGGGCTTCCTGCTGACAGCTCCAGCCCCAGGGCAGGAAATGTCATGGAGGTCTCTGGAAGCCACGGATTCCGTGACTTCCATGACAATTCATGACATAATCATAGCCTTAATGATGATCCTGTACTGTGGAGGGGCGTGTAATACAATTACCTGGTGTACCTGTGAAGCAATAATCACATTATAGTAATTTGCACACAGTAATTGCTTTGTTTCTGTAGTTTTCATAACCATAGTCTGTGGCATGTGCCTGTGAAACTGCAAAGGTGATGCATTGTTTTTTGACCGAAAATATTTACATGAGGTAACAACTACAACCCAGGCATGTACACTTTTCCTTAGGTTGTCATCAAACGCGTAAATTCGTAGCTTTTAAATAAGCGTATGGGTAAGATTCCACTGCACAACAGCAAATGGATGAAGCCAATGGGGTTACGTGCATTAAACAGAGGACAATTGGAATAGGAGAAAGGAGTGCCAACTAGAAAGAGGGATATAGGGGAGTGAATAGGAGTAAGGGGAGGGCTGGTTATAGTGGGAAGAGTAGTCAGGTGGCAAGGGGAAGGTTGGATGAAGGACAGAATGGATGGAAAATGTCAGGTGAAGCTACACACCATAGGTAATGCAGAGCGAGGGCTAGGGTGGTCAGGTAGAGGGAAAATCAATCAGGTATAGCATGGCTGAGGGAGGGAACTGAAGAGGAGCCAAAGAACATAGGTGCTGGAACTAGGGGTGCTGCAACACCCTCTGACTAGAAGTGGTTTCCTTTATATACAGTTTGGTACAATGGCTTTCAGCACTCCCGCTATAAAAATTGTACCAGTACCCCTGCCAAATGGGTAGGTTCAGGAAGCTGGAAAGCCAAAATGGAGAGAGGAGCTGAGGGTGGGATAGAGAAGGATCTGTGAGAAAGCTGGGCATGATCCTGGAGGGGTCTGAGCAGGCTTGGGAAGGAGCAAAGAACCTTGCGGCTTGAATTAGGACCTACTTTCTGTAAATGGATTGTAAAAGTGGCTGGATGATTTTATGATCAACACCAGTTATGCTGCTAGCATAATAATACAAGTGACCATAAATCGTATGCTTCTCGGCATCAGCTGATCTGATCTCTGGAGCCCTCGCAAAGGAGTAATATCCTCCCCTCCCTACCACTGCACAAGTGGCTAGGTGCAGTAGGGGTTGTTTTCTTCTCTTGCCTTCCTCAGACACATCCTGGTTGGGCCAGGGCTGCAGGCTGGATACAGGACTTGTCGAGCCACTGATGGGCATGGAATGCTCTTGGTGTTGCTGAACTGGCACAACAGGACCAGCATCAAACCAGTTTTAGTAACTAGTAATAACATCCAGGGGTGTGGGAGGCACCCGCTCATTCACCCTGTGGTTGGGCCAGGGGAGGAGGTTTGGGGATGACAGCTGGCTGCTCATGAGGCTGAAGCGGGTTCCTTGTTCCTAGGGAATTGGGAACCGGCGGAATTCGGAGCCACCTCTTGGCTCAGCCTGTGCGTGCAGGGCACAGCCCCACCGCGGTCACAGTCCCGAAATTACAAGGCGGCGGAGTGGGTGGGAGCCCGCAGAGGGCGGGAGAGGGTTCCCCTGCCGGGAGGGTGCCGCATCTCTCCACGAAGCCTCAATTAACCTCGCTGCAGTGTGTGAGCAAAACAGAAGGGAGAGGGCGCGGCGGGAGAGCTGTGCCGCTCGGCGGCCAGCAACCAGCCGCCGGGGGGCACCCGCCAGGCCGGGGCGTGATGCTGGCTGCGCCGCCCAGCAGCTTCCCGCCTGCAAGGGGCAGGGCTCAGGTGAGCCGATCCGCGGCTGATCGGTGGGAGTAGGACGAGGGTCCCCCTCCCTGCTCTGTCTTGCGCAAGGGAGGGCAACGTGCGAGCCACCCCGAGGCTCCCGGCTGTGGCAGCTCCGCAGGGGCGGGGCCAGCCGGCACCCCTGGCTTTATAGCGCCGGCTGCCGCCTCTCCACTGAGCTCCTCTGCGCCGCGCGCGGGCAGTGCGCTCGCCTTTCCCCGTTCCCAGCCGCTGCCCGCGCTCCGAGCGGGGCGGGGTGTTTCCCAGGGTCCAGCCCCTGCCGGCAAAGCCACCAGGGAGCCTGAGCTGTGCGGCGGGAGCCTGCCTGCCCCGGCCACACTGTCACCCCAGCAGCTGCGGGGAACGGTAAGGGGCGGTGGGAGATGTGGGGTGGCTGTGTTCTCACGGGACAGGTGCGTGTGTGTGTGAGAGCGCGCTCCCGGGAACAGGTATGTGTGTGTGTGTGTGTGTGTGTTGCGGGCAGTGTATGTTGGCTCCCACATTGTAGTTGGGGGGAAGAGACTTTTTGGACCATAAATAGTGTGTGTTTATAAGGTGCACAGTGCGTAGGCATGGGAGAACAGAGGTTATGGCAGAGCAAGGGGCCGGCCAAGGAGTGGGAAACCATCTCAGAAAGGTTCTGGTAGGTAGGTTATTAAAGAAAAGCTCCATTTATGATCTTGGCTAATGATGCTGTGGGTGTCATTACAAACATAGGTGCATCGTTATGAGAGCTGCTTATTGTGTTCAGTGATCACAGCTGGAGATAAGCTGGCAGAATCAAAAGCGTGTGTGTGTGGAGAGAGAGATGCTCATATGCTTCGACTTCTTTTTTTTTTTAGCTTCCTCATTTTTTGTAGAATGACACTTGCGCACTTTAACTGTTTGTTTTACATGACTTATACACTTGAACCTTTCCTAATAAGGTTCTAGCCAGTAATGCTGTATTTAGGGATGGGTGAACCTGGAGAAGGTCTAAAGATTCAGCCACAAGTATTTGGCCTGTGGATTTTTTTCCCCCTGGGAAACTATTTTCTTTTTACCTGCTGTCCTACCCTACATGGAATACAGGCCTATAAAATGCTCTGCAAACAAAAGCTAAGGCATTCTAAAATTCTGTATCCTAATGTTATTGGTAGTCCCATCCCTGCATCTTGTGACTAAACTTTCGTCTTGAGATCACATGTTCTTATTTTTTTAAATGATAAAAATATGTATATTTCTCCCATTATGCAGTTTGGAAAAAGATGTTTACAGTACTTTCCCGCCAGCCCTGTCAGCAAACAGGTCAGTACCTAAAATAGGTTGGCAATAGCTGTTTCAAGTCAATTATAGAAATGAATCTCAACCTATAATATATGTTTACATTTATATAGATGTATATTTAACCTTCATATTTCAGTACCATGAAGAGGTTTAGTCACTGAGCCAACTTTCCTTTGCAGAAAGTGATTATTTTTATCTACAGTAAGCTATAGGAAATGAGAAAATGTTCTTTCTTTCAAATGTGTTCTTGTGTGGTCCATTATATTTAATTTAGTAGGGACTGAAAGTTGCCAGTATTTACTTTATCACTTGTGCCAGAATGTTATTGTTTTTAGTAATGAAGAACAATGGCACTTTAATATTTCATCAACATCTTTTTAAATTATGTTGTTGGCTCTTTGCCTAAAATCCACTAGAGTGAGCCAAATTCCGCTCTCACTTACATTCGTGCAGTCCTGTGGAAGTCAACAGGCCAAGTTAATCCCTCTTGCAACTTCAGTAATTGGGATGAATTTTGTTCTCTTGCTGTGTGTGTGTGTGTGTGTGTGTGTGTGTGTGTGTGTAATATTGCGGGGGTTTCCTGGCTGTAACAGCGAGCAGAATATGCTCTTGTGCATCTGTTCCACTGACATGAAATCTTCTAGAATCTTGCACAGTCCAGCTACCATATAATTAAAATGTTTAGCTAACTGTACCGGGGCATGAAATGTAAGGTGTACTTCTAACAAATGTGCCTAGATTTATAAATTATGCTCTAATTAAATTGTCTTATCTGGGAGTGACACTAGATTAAAAGAGGAATGTCACAAATGATGTTCATTCGCATAATACTCTTCCCATTGAAGAGATTTCTGAAAAGTGAAGTCCTTTCAGATAGGGTCAAATCTTGGTACCAGTAAAGTCAATGAAATTTTTACTATTGACTTCAATAGGACCAGGATTTGGCCCATAGAAATTTGTGATTCCCTGAAATATATAGGCATTAGAGTGCATTGCTCCCTGCTGAAAAGTCTATAGCAGAACAACAATATTTCAACAGTCATAGTAGGTGCTCTGAAGTAATAAGAATAATAATTAAATATTGATTTGCACTTTTTAATGGGGTTTGACACCTTCAGAGTTCTGTACAAATATTGACTCATTTGTCTTGTCATTATCAAAGAGTAAATGCTCTTAGTCTCTTCCACTTCTACAGGTCAATCCTTTGATCCATGAAGAAAATATATTTATTGAGGAGTAAATAGAAATCTAGCTCTCACCCAACTTTCAATTGCAGGGCTGGCTCCAGGCACCAGCGGAGGAAGCACGTGCCTGGGGCGGCACATGCTAAGGGGCGGCATTCCGTCCATTCTTGGGGCGGCACAGTCCGAGCAGCTTTTATTTATTTATTTATTTTTGCTTGGGGCAGCAAAAATGGTAGAGCCAGCCCTGTTCAATTGTATGCTATTTTGTGATCATGGAAAGCTTACAAATCTGCAAAATACACAAGGAGAAGGATTTGTTACAAAGGCAAACATCTTATCCCAGCAGCTCTCAGTCCCAGATGGATTGTTAGAACTGGCTTTTTTAATGGCTCTTAAGCATAGGTTCTAAAGTAACTGACCTCTAGGTAATAACAGATATTTTAGATATAAAAATAGGGTTTAGTCCTGTCACTCCCATGTTTCCCATACAGTACTCTTTCTTGAATTTCAGAATCCATCAGGACAATAAATCAATATACAGTACCGTCTGGAAATCCACTATTATTGTAATTGGTGGTAGCTTAATGATTTTCATGCAGAAATCTCATTATGATTAGTACTAGTGAAAATTAACTGGGGTGTTGACAGGGCCGGCTCCAGGCACCAGCTGAACAAGCAGGTGCTTGGGGCGGCCAAGGGAGAGGGGCGGCACCTGAGGCAATTCGGGGGCGGCAGGTCCCTCACTCCCTCTAGGAGCGAAGGACCTGCCGCTGAACTGCCGCCGCCGATCGCGGCTTTTTTTTTTTCTTTTCTAATTGCCGATCGCCATCGCGGCTTTTTTTTTTTTTTTTTGCTTGGGGCGGCAGAAATGCTGGAGCCGGCCCTGGGTGTTGACGTGAGAGGCTAACCCTTAAAATATAGAGGTCGTAAGAGTGTCATTATAAAGAAACTTCAGAACTTAGATGAGTGCACAAGATATTGAGCATGTTAGTTTCCATTCACTGACATGCCTCTGAGTGAGTGCTTGGTGTGGGGAATAGGGTCTAAGGAGACTTCTCTATCATTTGCATGTACCGTGCAGGGCTTGTAAGTATGCTGTCCCTGCAATCGGGGGGCTTACAGGGACTGCTCCCTGTATGCACCCCTAGAGCGCAGATTGTCCCAAAGGGGGTGTGAGAAGACAGTGCTGTGGTCCTGGCCACGGTCCACACTGTGTTGTGGCAGTGGACCCTGCGTAATAGCAGGAGTAGACTGTATTTCCTGAAGGACTGAAGTGGCAGGTGTGCTCTCCTGGGGATGGTGCTGCTCCCAGCGCCTGGCTGTGCCTACATGGCGTGACAGAATCCTAAAGACGTTTCTCTTGATAAGTCACTGGCAGACAGAACACGGGCACAGGAAAACATATAAATATTGGAAATTCAAAAGCAGAATCTGCCCTTCTCACATTCCATTTCAATTTGCCATCGCTGCAATATTCCCCTAAATTCTTGTCTTCCTTAGACCCTTTTGACCTCTAAGTATCCTTCAACCCTCCACCCTTTCCCCCCATCTATCATGTCGCACCAGAAGATTTTAGAGCTCCAGAATTGCCAGTCTGACCATGCTAACAACACTGCTGTAGCCAAGCCTGTTTCCCTGTGCAGCCCTTGCAGCCAAAATCCTGTTTGTATTACTTGGGTGAGCAGTCCCACTTAAGTCCACGAGCAGGACCTGGCTGTATAATACTTCTATTATATCGCAAATGTTAGCAATTATGTACTAAGATCTTTCCTTTGAGCAGAGCCCCTTCAAACCTGCATGATCTAACATGCACGACGGGCTGCACCTACTGCTTATGTAAAGGTGTTTTCAAGAAAAAAAAAAATCAAGGGGAAAAACTAGCACACAAGTTTCCCAGAGTTTTAATTCTCTGTCTTCGGTGTTGAGACAAGTGTTTGTTTATTTTGTAATGAGCGCAACAGGAGTATATGCTCTCAGGAAGGAGGAATATTGGTTGGGGTCAGTGTGAGACGCTTGGGCAGCGTGGGAAGCTTGCATTGTTGCTGTGTCTGAGTTGTACCTGTTTTGTGGTTAGAGAACTTTAGTGTCCAGGGCCCTTTCACAGGGTCGAATTGTACCCCTACATGGTGATACTCTCTTTTTCCACCTCACCCCATGGAGTTTCTTTTGCTTTCTTCCATTAGTAGTTGGGGGTGGGAATTCCTTTCCCCCACCCTGCAGAAGAAAGTGGGGTTCTGGCCATCAAGCTCCATGGATGTCCTGGGATCAATTGGGCACATGGCCATCCACGCAAAGGCCTTCTATCTCTACACCAGCTCAGGGTCTCCTGTGGCTGCCTGCCTCTGGGAGCCACGTCTTTAAGGGAGTTCCCCACCACAGAGTGGGCTCCTAGGAGAAGTGAACCTCCCAGCTTTCCTTCGTGATCTCTTTTGTGCAGGGAGAACGATGCAGCTCCCTTACCACCCCCAGCCCTGTTTGCAGTCTGCCCACTCCCTTCCAGCCTGCCCTCTCCACTCCTTCATCCCATATGGATCCCTGGTTTTGCAAGAGCCTTCCACAGGAGAAGGATGAGGTTGCTGCCTCATGGCACTGAAATGGGTGAGGGTTGCCCAGCGAGGGCCGCCTCTGCACGCAGAGTTAAAGGGTTAGTAGAAATTAAAATGAAAAACCAGAACAAATCCTCCTCCTTGAACTCCTTAGTGAACATTTCCAATGGAGCCTGGAAACAGCATTGCCTTCAATGCACAAAACAGCTACACTTAACTGTAGGGTTAATTTGCACATTTACGCTTAGGTTTGGTTCGTAAGCTCTTCAGGGCAGAGACCTTGTCTTTTTACTAGTGTGTAAAGCATCCAGCATAACTTTGGGCACCACACAATGATAATACTTTCTGTATTTACATGCACATACTCATACCCTGTGTTTCACTGACACATCAGCACCTAGTTAGAAAATGTCTGTTATACAATGCTTAACTCGTCTCTGGCTTGTTTTAGACAGTGCGACATGTGATACTCACCTACTGCAGTGAGACTTTCTGTTACAGGGATGGATTAATGGTGGCAAAATACATCTTCCAGCCAGGTCCTGAATGGAGTAGAGACTCGCCTAGTGGCAAATCCTGCAGCTCGTACTTATGCAAAACTCCCATTGTGATTTTACTGGGAGTTTTGCCCGAGTATGGGCTGCAGGGTGTGGCCCTTTGACTTAGCGATGATCCCTGCACTCCTTTACATGCATTTTCCCTTTTCACTTTAGGTTTCAAGGTGCTCTCCAAAACGTCAACCATTATCACTTTGGTATTTCTGCTTCTAAGCATAGTTGTTGTTATTGCTGTTACACTTGTTCAGATCAACCACAAAGAGGTCCTTTCTCCAGGACTGAAGGTAAGTTTTAAAGGGTATAAGGAAACAGAACAATAGACTAAAATGTTCTATCAAATAATAATACTGTGCGTTCTACAGTGCATTTCACCTGATAATCTCAAAATGCTTTACAGGCAAGTGTTAGTTAAAGTCTCACAATGCCCCTGTAAGCTAAGCATTATGGTCTCTATTTTATAGATGGGGGAACTGAAGCTGAGAGAATAAGTGAATTGCTCAAGATGATACACCAAGCCAGAGGCAAAGGTGGCATAAGAATTCTTTATGCCTAACCTTGTACTCTAGACAATGCTTCTGCTAAGTCTGAATTGCAAGTAAGAAGAAAAAGTTCTCTTTGTCAGTCCAGATTGATGTTTTATAGTAATTATTATAAAATGGCTTTGATTCAAGAAATGATCTGCATTTGAATTACATTCCTAGGGGCTGAATTCTGCCCTCAGATATGATCCCTGTGAGGTGCACATGTGTATCTAAAGGCAGAATTTTGGCCCTAAGTGTGTAATTACATATCCATCACACTGGTTAGAACTTGTTAGCTCTATTATCCTTCCTTCTATTAATACCTACATGAAAGAGTAGGGAAAATCTGAAAAGGTGAACTGAAATGCTTTGGGAAATAAGTTGAAAGTCTGTTTTCTGGTTCCAGATCATTAAAAGAATGTATGTGCAGACTTCAAAATGCTAGATTCATACATCTTTAACACAAAATGGAAAATCACCTCCCTGAGAAGTTCTCAGTTCAGGTCCCCTGAGTTCTGTTTCCTCTACTAAAGCTACTAATGGGTTTAAGGAAAACAGCCCCTGTGGTGCTTTAGAGTCCTCGCCAGCTGCTCCCTTTGATAGTGGGTACAGGGTGGTAGTTCAGGCAGATGTTGCAATCCACAGATTCCCTGTCCCGCTCTACTCTCTTTGCGCCACTTCCGAATTCAGCTATGACCCTCATAAGTTGTTTTTGAAATGATGGATTTGCTTCCTGAGTTTTAACAGTCTCAGAGAACCAGCTGTGTGTGTCAGTGGAGTAGCAGTGGCTGTTTCTGTGACAACTGCTATGGGCTTGGATTTCCTTGAGGACCCTAAAGGGTAAGGGTTCAGGGGTTCCCAACCATTAGTCTACACATCATTAATAGGGTTGCCAGGTGTCCGGTTTTCGACTGGAACGCCCAGTCGAAAAGGGACGTTGGCAGCAACGGTCAGCATCATTAAATGTCCGGTCGGTGGCGCAGCAGGGCTAAGTCAGGCTCCCTGCCTGCCTGGCTCTGCATGGCTCCTGGAAGCGCCCGGCATGTCCCTGAGGCCCCTAGGCACAGGGGTGGCCAGGGAGGCTCCGTGCACTGACCCCGTCCCAAGTGCCAGTTCCGCAGTTCCCATTGGCCGCATGTTCAGCTTTCTGCAATCCGAAAGTTGGCAACCCTAGATGTTGTGGGCTTCATTTGGTTTGGAGGAGGCTGTGTCTCTCAGGAAAGAGCCTTGCAGAATTGGGCTCTTTGGTAGAGAAGAGGGACCGTGAACAGTCACAGAAGCCTGCAGTACTTATGTTGATGTGCCAGTGGTTGGAAACCACAGCGTCCTAAAGTTTGGACTTAAGCCTTGGCTACACTCGAAACTCCAAAGCGCTGCTGCGGGAGCGCTCCTGCGGCAGTGCTTTGAAGTGCGAGTGTGGTCGCGGCACCAGTGCTGGGAGAGAGCTCTCCCAGTGCTGCAGGTATTCCACCTCCCCGAGGGGATTAGCTTACAGCGCTGGGAGCACGGCTCCCAGCGCTGGGGCACTGTTTACACTGGTGCTTTACAGCGCTGTAACTTGCTGCGCTCAGGGGGGTGTTTTTTCACACCCCTGAGCGAGACAGTTGCAGCGCTGTAAAGCGCCAGTGTAACCAAGGCCTTAGTTATAATAATTAAATACGGAAACAGTTGGAGGAAAAATGTTTTCTCCTCAGAAGTGTCTCTTTTCTTTCAAACTACTCTCCATTAAACTAAAACAAGCATTATAATGTGACCCTCTGAAGCCTGTGTGATCGCATAGTAGTACTTCCCCAGTGCATTGACAGCACTCAGCCATCGGCATCATGCTTTTACAATACCTACAGGCAAGTTGTCTTATACAACCTATGTCCCGTTGTGTTTTTTTGCCCAATTAAGTATTTGTTTCATGCCTGTCAGAAGATCTGAGGCTTTAGTTTTCCGTCCTAGTAGTTCATGAAGGAAGAACTAGTCTATGCACACAGGCTCAGGCACTGAAAGGGCTTGTGACTCATCCAAACATTGTGAAATGAGAGTAACGATCAAGGGACGGACAAATATCCTGCAGTTAAATGACTTGGAAATAAGTTCAGTCATCCGAAGAAGTGGGCTGTAGCCCACGAAAGCTTATGCTCAAATAAATTTGTTAGTCTCTAAGGTGCCACAAGTACTCCTGTTCTTTTTGCGGATACAGACTAACACGGCTGCTACTCTGAAACCTGTAAACAACCCTAGCTTTGACACCTAGCAAGCTCTGGTACTTATAAGAAGCATTTTGCTCAAAGGCTAATGTTTCCTATTCTGTCTCTGGTATCATAATATTTTTTGTTTTCATCTGGCACATGCTTTTCTTTGTGTTCTAAATGTCTTTTGAAAGTGGCAATATAATATAAACAGAGTATTATTATTATTATTATTATTATTTTTTATGGGCACAAACTGATTAGTTCCAGAGAGCCTTGTCTATAGTTGCTCTGATTTAACTAATCCATACTGTTAAACTGGAGCAAGCCTCTAATGTGGATGCATTTCAACCTGTTCAACCCTTGCTGTTACCAGTTTAGCTTGCATTGGTAAATTACCAAATTAAGCTAATCCGATTTAAGTAAGGGTTAATTGGTTTAAGTGTGGTCCACTTCAGGGGTTTGCATCTGTTTACCTAGATTGATTTTAAAATTGATTGAGTTAAACCAGTGCAACTTTTTCCAGTTTGACCAGGCCTTTGTCTTTGTCTACACTACCACTTTTGTCGGTAAAACTTTTGTCGGTCAGGGATGTGAAAAAAACACCTCCCTGACTGACATAAGTTTCACTAGCAAAAGTGCTGGTGTGGACAGTGCTATGTTGGCAGAAGAGGCTCTCCTGATAACATAGCTAATGCTACTCGTTGGGGGGTGGTTTAATTATGCCGGCAGGAGAGCGGCTACACGGGAGACCTTACAATGGCAGAGCTGGAGTGGTACAGCTGTGCCGCTGTAAGGGCCATAGTGTAGACATAGCCTAAGTAAACAGATCAGTCAGCTGTGTTAGGGAGACAGGACCTGGTTCACCAGTTCCTTGAACTTTTTTTTTTGTTTTTTTGTTTTGTTTTTGTACACACAAACAGTGGGTGTAAAATGGCAACAGATCCAAATGGTAGAGTTTTACACACACCTTGCACAAGAGTAAGTGATTACCCAAGAGATCAGATAGTGGAGTCAGGTCCATAGAATCTGTTACAAGTGTCAGTAAAGGAAAACAAGAGCAATAAACACGAGGGTGCCCTGCTAATAGTAAAAGCTGTGTGATGGAGAAATTACAAATGTAGCAACAAGGGGACAACTTCAGTTTAACTTCAGTACTCAGAAAGATAATAGAGCAAATAATAAAGCAATCAACTTGCAAACACCTAGAATATAATAAGGTGATAAGTAACAGTCAGCATGGATTAGTTAAGAACAAATCATGTGAAACCGACCTAATAGCTTTCTTTGACAGAGTAATAAGGGGGAAGTGGTAGATGTGGTATATCTTGACTTTAGTAAGGCTTTTGGTACTGTCTTAAATGACCTTTTCATAAACAAACTTGGGAAATACAACCTAGATGGAGCTACTATAAGGTGGGTGCATAACTGGTTGGAAAACGTTCCCAGAGTAGTTATCAGTGGTTCACAGTCAAGCTGGAAGGGCATACTGAGCGGGGTCCTGCAGGGATCAGTTCTGGTTCTGTTCAATATCTTCATCAATGATTTAGATAATGGCATAGAGAGTACACTTATAAACTTTGCAGACGATACCAAGCTGGGAGGGATTGCAAGTGCTTTGGAGGATAGGATTAAAATTCAAAATGAACTGGAGAAATGGTCTGAAGTAAATAGGATGAAATTCAATAAGGACAAATGCAAAGTACTCCACTTAGGAAGGAACAATCAGTTGCACATATAAAAAATGGGAAATGGCTGCCTAGGAAGGAATACTGTGGAAAGGGATCTGATGGTCATAGTGGATCACAAGCTAAATATGAGTCAATGGTGTAACACTGTTGCAAAAAAAAAAAAAGCAAACATTCTGTGATGTATCAGCTGGAGTGTTGTAAGCAAGACACGAAAAGTAATTCTTCTGCTCTACTCCATGCTGATTAGGCCTCAGTGAAGTATTGTATCCACTTTTGGGGGGGCCACATTTCAGGAAAAATGTGGACAAATTGGAGAAAGTCCTGAAGAGAGAAACACAAATGATTAAAAGTCTAGAAAATATAACTTACAAAGAAAGATTGGGGGCGGGGGAGGGGGAGAATTGGGTTTGTTTAGTCTGGAGAAGAGAAGACTGGGGGGTGTGGGAGGGACGGACATGATAACAGTTTTCAAGTACATAATAAGTTGTTACAAGGAAGAGGGCAAAAAATTGTTCTTGTTAACCTCTAAGGCTAGGACAAGAAGCAATGGGCTTAAATTTCAGCCAGGGCGGTTTAGGTTGGACATTAGGAAAAACTTCCTAACTGTCAGGGTAGTTAAGCACTGGAACAAATTGCCTAGGGAGGTTGGGGAATCTCTCATTGGAGGTTTTTAAGAATGGGTGAAACAAACACCTGTCAGGAATGGTATAGTTATTACATAGTCCTGCCTTGAGTGCAGGGGACTGGACTAGGTGACCTCTCAAGGTCCCTTCCAGTTCTACACTTCTGTGATTTTTTTTTTTTTTTTCTTCAAGCCATCTCTCTTTTCATCTTTCTCATTTCCACTAGACAGCAGCAGAGTTCCAGCTCCCTTTCATTTGGTTGATTTTTTTTTTTTTTTTTTTTGCCTGTCCACCTTCTCTTACTAATCCTACAATATAGTCTACTGAATAGATTTTTGCTGAATATTAAAGAAAGGTCATGATTAGAGTTGATGGAAAATTTATGGGTGAAAATCCCAATAAAAAAGAGAGGGAGAAAAACTATGATTTTTTTTGGCTGCTCTGGTCTTTTTTGACCTTTGACTCAAATTATGTTGTTCTAGCGATAGGCAATTTTTCCGTAAGAACGACTATACTGGGTCAGACCAAAGATCCATCTAGCCCAGTATCCTGTCTTCCGATAGTGGCCTATGCCAGGTGACCCAGAGGGAATGAACAGAACAGGTAATCATCAAGTGATCCATCCCCTTTTGCCCATTCCCAGCTTCTGGCAAACAGAGGCTCGGGACACCATCCTTGGCCATCCTTGCTAATAGCCATTGATGGACATATGGGGATGAAGAATGATCTGGTGGTTAAGGCAGCAGACTAGGACAGGGGAAATCTGGGTTCAGTGCCCAGCTCTGCCACAGATTTCATGTGTAACCTTGGGCAAGTCACTTAATTTCTCTGCGGTTCAGTGAATGGAGTTAATGATACTTCCTCTCTCCCATCTGTCTTGTATAGTAAGATCTTTTAGGCAGGGACTGTCTTACAATGTGTGTACATTGTCTGGCACAGTGGGGCCCTAATTTCAGAGGGGGTCTCTAGATAGGACTGTAATATAAGTAAAATAATAATACCTGGCAAAGAGTAAGCCCAAGGGAAGGGAAATCCTATTTGCTTAGATATCACTGTGATGCGAGAGATATTAAAATGTACATGTTGTGTAACCATTTAAATATGCAATGACACATTCATCCTTAGTGTGATGCTATTGACGTTAGTGGCTTTGCAGCAGGTATGAGTCTGCATCCAGAAGAAGGAATTAATTGGTGTCCTGTGTATATTTGGATTGTGTTCTGAAAGAAACCATAATGATTGTGTTCTGTTCGTGATACTGTCAGGTAGGACTTCTCCAGGTGTCTAGTTGCATTGCACAATTATACATTAGCACTTAAAGTCAGGCCATGTCCATGCTGATTGCTAAGGCAGTAACATACATTTGACAAGATACATGAAGCATCTGAGTCTCCTTAAAGAAATCCACACACCAAAGTATGTTATTACATTACCTCTCATAACGGCTGCATTTTTAGAGTAATTTAGATTGAGCACAAATAGATATATTTCCCCAATTCTGTAACCTGCTTGTGTGAGCACAGAGGAAGCACATTCCTCATACAGCCTTCTGGTAAACTGGAGCAGTCACCTAATGCTCTCCATTAAAATAATGGGGTTGTGCTAAACAATGGATCTAAAGAAATGCAAGGGGACCATGCTACATTCAAGTTAAATATTCCGTTTGCTGTAAATGTTTCTAGTCTACAAATCAAGCAAGGATGACTTTGTCTGCTAGTTAGTCTCCTGGAAGTTGACAATGTTTGGTAAATCAAAAGAGGCGATTTGCGGCTATGATGGCTGCAGGGGAAAGCAGAAGTGTGCCTGATATGGCACTTCATTTGTCAGCCTCTGTAACATGCTGCTCCTCCTGGAAATTGTAGTTGCAACCAAAATAGCCAAGTTGTGGCATGTTTGTTTGCTATACTATGCGCCAGTTTTTCATTAGGAATCATTCACAGACTGCGGCCTGACTCAGGCAGATTGTCCAAGTACCTGATGTTTTTAGTTAATATCACTTTAGTATATGTCAAAGCATTCCTTTGGTGTTTAAGTAAATGTGCGGCACAATGACCGGTGCCGAAAACCTTGTGGTAGTTTTTAAAAAAACCAAAAGGCTGACAAATTTTGGATTTTAAATTGTAACCCCCTTTTTTTTTTCAGTATGGGATAGTGCTTGACGCCGGATCATCTCGGACTACAGTCTACATGTATGAATGGCCAGCAGAAAAAGAAAATGATACAGGAGTAGTAAGCCAAACCTTCAAGTGCAGTGTGAAAGGTGAGGCTCAAATGGAGATTTGGAAATAGCAGTTTGATGCCAAAAAAGTTACTGATCCCTTATTCAGAGCCTGCCGGGTCCTGGCAGTAGTTAGTGTAGCCTGTGGGCTGCTTTTACTTATGACAGAGGAGGATCTGTGTAGTGGAGCAATGCTCCTTCAGGTATTTTCCGCTCACATGCTTCCTCCTTCCCCAGCATGACCCTTTCACCATGGTGGGGTGGGACAGCTGGAACAGGAACTGCTTCCACTGGGCTTACGTCATCAGAGTTCTTGTGAGAAATGTTCTGGAGACCATTTAGGGCCAGAATATAGCCTCTTTGTACTGCCTGAATGGCAGAGGGACCAGATCATACCAGTCAATCTGACCCTTTAATATCTAGTGCGGGGGTCGGCAACCTTTCAGAAGAGGTGTGCCGAGTCTTCATTTATTCACTCTGATTTAAGGTTTCGTGTGCCAGTAATACATTTTAATGTTTTTAGAAGGTCTCTTTCTATAAGCCTATAATATATAACTAAACTATTTTGTATATAAAATAAATAAGGTTTTTAAAATGTTTAAGAAGCTTCATTTAAAATTAAATTAAAATGCAGAGCCCCCCAGACTGGTGGCCAGGACCCGGGCAGTGTGAGTGCCACTGAAAATCAGCTCGTGTGCTGCCTTTGGCACGCGTGCCATAGGTTGTCTACCCCTGGTCTAGTGCTTCTAGTGTTTTGAGCTGTTCTTTGAAAAAGCTGTTTAATGTAAAAATAATTAAAATAAAAATCCTCTGAAAGGATTAGGGGCTCAACTTCTATTGGAGTTTTGCTGTTGATTTCCGTGGGAGCAACATAGGGCCCCAGCTGTGCTAGCAGGTTGGCGCATTATTTGCTTTTCTTTTCTGGAAATCTGGGTTACTCTTTTTTTTTTTTTTTAAATGTTTTCTTTACATGTTTGTTATAAGTGACTTCAGTGCTTGTGAATGAGACTAGACTGAGAATCTTGGAGACTAAAGTCCTCTGTCTAAAGAACAGATAGAAGAGCATGGGAAGCATAGGTGCAAACTTTCTCCCGCTTCTGCCCTCCCCCCTGCCCGACTCCATCAATCTCTTGATTGAAGAGAGCCTCTAGTGACGAGAGGAGAGTTCAGTGTCTATGCTCATGGATTCCTGGGCCTCACTGCTGAAACTGCCAAGGATGGCACCAGTGGTGATTATGGTTTTGTGACATGGATATTAATCCACTAGGAACTGGACTGAAATCATTTCACATAGGTCACTGAACAGCCAGCAGATAACTTTCGAACACTGCTAATCTGGGTCAATTTAACATGTGGTCTTGAAGTGAAAAACTCTGTTCTTCACCAGTCACACATTCCCTTTACTTTTTTTCTAGGTTCAAATTTGGCTAGGTATCTCACCTAGTGGACATTTCTATATATCACAGAGCCATCAAGTTAAGCATAAAACTAGCATGATGTGTTCAGGAGAGTCCCAGGAGTGGAATAGCAGGGCTGTTGCAGGTTAGCGCTTTGGTGTGTTTGCAGAGCTGCATGAGGAAGATTCCTAGATTCCAAGCCCAGAAGAGACCCTGATGATCCTCTAGTCTGACCCCCTGTATAACACACTTCCCCAAAATAATTCCTCAGCATATCTTTTAAATCCAATTTTAATTTAAAAATTGTCCGTGATGGAGAATCCACCATCTACCAAGCTTGGTAATTTGTTCAATGGTTAATTACTCTCACTGTTAAAAATGTATGGCTTGTATGCAGTCAGAAAATGTACACCTTATTTCATCTAGCCAGTGCTGTCAGCCACTCATTAATGAGCCCGGAAATTCATTCAATCATCTGAGAAAAGAAAAGCTCTCCACACGTTCCAAGGCTCTTTAAAGGCCTGATTTTGCCAGGTTCTGGGAACCCTCAGCTCCCCTTGAGGATACTCTGTACCTCTCAAGAGCCGACCCCAGAGAAAAAGCACTTTTACACCCACTGAAGCTAGTTTTTAATCTGCTTCAAACTGTGTTTTTGTGTTGTCTGTGCATGTGGAGGAGAGTGGTTCTGATTTTTTTTTTTAATCGTTTTGTCTGTCTTTAATCCAAGCACATGTTTTAAAGCCCACATGCGTGCCTGGGCTATGGCTTGTGTAAAGTCCAATTTCAGCTGTTGGGTATAAACCCATAAACAATTTCTTCACACGCACAAACTCTTCTAGTGCTCTTGCTGTGGTACAGGCAGGTATTCTTTCCAGTCGTATTGTGCTACAGGGATAATACAGAAATAGTAGTAGGAATAGGAGTCCGTGCAGGTGACACGAAGAAAGGAAAATGAGAGAGCTGGAGGAAGATTAGAAAGAAAAGTGACCAGCATCATTCTTTTATTTTTTTCTGGGCTAGATTGCGATCCCTTGGCTTCTGTTCCTCACGTGGATGAACAGTTACTCACACAGATAGTCCCATTGAAGGCCTATTAGTATTAATTCATTAAGGGCCTAAGCTAAAGATCACTGAAGTCAATGGACATCTTTCCATTGACTTCTTTGAGCTGGGGATCAGACTCTAATACGCTGACTTGTGTGAGTAACTGCTCATTTTATGTGAGCAAGGGGACTGCCACAATCTAGCCCAAGGTTAAGGAATAATCCAATGCCGTGTTTCTCTGCCAAACCATTTCTGAGCTATAATATTCCCACAAATGTAAGGAAACGTCCATAAAAGTATAAACCTTTGAATTTTTTTCATTCAGTCTTATCTGTAAAATGCTTTGTCTGATTACTCCCACAATATTTCAAGGAAATTATCCCCTGGCTCAGGACAACACATGGGATTTTGGGGGAGTATTGGTTTAATTTTAGCAAAGTTAGGTGTACTGGGGAGAGAGGATATTAAAAATCAGTTTTATAACAATGGACAGAGAGTAATCATCTCTCCCTCAGACATTTGCTGATCCATGATATCAGCACTAACCTCCACAGGTGACTTTTCCTTTCCTTCTTTCTCCAGAACATGGGTCAGTGAGGATTATGCAAAATCCTATATCCTGGCTTTTGTCTGGAAATGGATATTTAGGGTGTAGCTGTCTGTAGTGGCTGATGGATGAATAGAAAGCACTGGTTTCTAGCACTACCAGTCTTTCTATCTTTAACACTATATACACATGCCCCAACAATTAAAAAAAAAATGTAGAGAAATCTAAGCTTACACGAGGAACAAAACATGGAAGAACTGCACCGGGACCTGCCACGTGCTATGTCCTTACACATGCAGGAGTGGCATACTGCCGGCACTGCACAGCAGCTGCACGTTGACATCTCATGTCTTGGCTAATTAAGAATGTTGCCCTTAGGGTTTTTGGTGTGAGAAAGCTGCATCGTGAAGCTGAGCCATTCTGCTGCCCTAAAAACACAAGAGGAAGCACTTTTAAAGTTGGTTTTAATTGTTTGGTTTTTTCCCCCCCAAGAGAGACAAGAGAATTATAGAACATAAGGGGCCAGGTGACTCTGTACAGGGGTATTGTGTGAATCCATAGAAAGGTGCCTCAAACTACAGTAGCCAAATGTGTGCTAGTCCCTGTGATACTATGTGTGAAAGGGAGCCAGACAGCATGTCTGTAGGGTGACAGTGTGGAGAGGGAGAGCGGTAACCATCAGCATGCTTCTCCCTTCTTCCCAATCCTCCACCAGCTGCGCTGCATGCACGCTTCTGGGCCAGGGCTCCTCCAGAGGTGGGGAGGTGGTGGAATAGGAGGAGATCTGCTCTCCACTGCATTCTTCTCCCATCAGCCCTGTGGCAATTGGGCAGCCCACCCTAGTGCTGACCCAGTCCATATTCCTTTATACAGTGGCTCTACTCTGGCTACAACGCAGTGATCACTGTGTTGTATGAGCACCTTCCAGATATTGATGTGCTGCCCACCCATATGCATTCATGTATCCTCCTGAATAGCATGGGGGGCACAGATTTCATTTGGATAATTGGGAGGGCAGGAGCGGCAGCGCAGTGAGCCCTCTGCTGCTTCACTCTCATGGCCCCGTTCACTTGCTCCCAGCACAGCAGGGCTGCAGAGGGCTCCCTGCGCTGACATGCCTGCCCTTTCAAATGTTGCAGGTGCAAAGTTGCGGGGGCAGGCTGCCTTCCTAGTAGGGCAGAGCGGAGACCTCTGGCCAGGACTCTGCTCTGCCCCACCAGAACTGCAGCCTCCCCTGCACCTGGCACCTGCAGGAATTGGTTGTCACCGGCCCTCTGGAGCTCCACAGTCACACCCTACTCACTCTCACCCACAACAGCGGGGTGGCAGAGGTCTCCCTCCACTGCCATGGGAGCTGTACAGCGGCAAGGTGGCCTGCCTCGCAGCTGAGGGTCTCTTCTCTCTTGTCCCCCAGCAATGACAAGGAAGGGATTTGGATAATGTGGAGGTTCAGATAACTAGGTTTTGGAGAATCAGGTGTACACTGTAATAATAATAATTAATTAATAATATATGATCTCTCTTCTTGTTCTCCTGTCCACCTCCCCCCACCCCCCAAACATGGGGTCGAGGTTTGTTATTTTCTTTGCTTTATGGGCAGTTTTTGTTTTCCTTTTTATTATTCTGATTAATTATTGCTGCTATTGGAAAGCTATCATGAAGAGGCTTGCATTTCATCCTAGAAGCAGTCCGGTCTGTGGTCTTTCTTTACTCTGGTGGGATGGAGTCGCACAGCTGGGGGCCAGCCACTTAGAAGGCTAAGTCACTTGCTTCTACTAGTCTCATATTTGTAACTGATAGTTCCATTGTGCCTAAGGACCAGAGCTGTAGGGTTACATCCTTATTCCAGATGGTTCCTGAGCTAGCATGTCTACCTTGGGGTCTGGATTTGATCATGAGCCTCTTAGGTAATTGAGTGCCAAAAGCTATATGTTGCTCTCTTGCAAGCTTTCTCGGGGGAATCGGTTCTCCTGATAATAATAAGCATGCCCCAAGTGCACTTCAGTTGTGATGCTCAAAGCACTGAATAAAGTAGAATTATTCTCCATTTTACAGATAGGTAGACTGAGGCAAAGAAAGGAAAAATGACTTGTCCAAAGTCATTTAGCAGGTCATTGGTAGATATAGGAATAGACCCCTGGTTGTTTGATTCCCAGTCCAGGTCCCTCTCCACTGGACCATGCTGCCACTAAGTCCAATCAAAGGTCAAATTGCAGCTCACAATTCATTATTTTGCTTCCAGTAGGATGCTACTTCCTGATCTGGTCTGACATATGCCAGTTTGTTAGGTGTAGTCCACATGATTTAGGACACACGGGGATGGAGTTTTCTATAATTTTGGAGATCCAGGAGGTTTTTTTCCACCCAGTAGGTGGATTTTTCTGCAGTGCCTGACACATGTAATATATTTTTCGCATTAATGTGGCACTGTTGTCAATTTGCGCTTATGTACAGTTGAAAGGATGGCAGTGTTGGGGGGCGAGTCATATGTCAGGAGTGCTGCCCTGTATAAAAGACTCCAAGGCATGTTCATTAATATTCTTTTTAATCATTAAGATTTTTAAATTAAGTCCTTGTTTAAAGGTTAAACATCTTTTCAAAATGGAATATTAAATGGCCAAAAAAGCTGTTTCTTCTGATGCTAGGTGGCAAGACAAATGAAATCAGCCACTTGCTCTTTTTTAGGCCCGGGCATATCCAGCTATGGGAATAACCCTCAAGAGATTGTCAAACCCATTGACAACTGCATGAGTAAAGTAAAGGAGAAAATTCCCTCTCACTTGCATAAAAATACCCCAACGTATCTGGGAGCTACAGCTGGAATGCGACTACTGAGGTATGGCAAAAAAGCCCAGTACACTTAATATATGTAAATAGAACAGCAGCACGTGAAACTGATATGGAAAAATGTGTTAGACAACTCTGTGTTCACCAGGAATTCTGATCTGTCTCAAAAGGAAATCCAACTCAGCCAGTAAAATTAAAGGTTTGGAACTTTTGGTCTAATTTTTAAACAGATCTGCTTTTCTTTTACCATATCGCTTTACTGTATTGAAAGGAAGTATTTGCTTGCTTTGCACTACAGCAATGTGAGGTCCTAATTTCTGTCCTCAGCATGTGGACATATCTGAGGGTAGGAAGCCCAAATTCATAGTTGGTGTAACTCAGCTGGAGACAAGGAGTTACACTAAGTGTGAGCATGATGCTAAGTGGTTGCTCCATATCTATGCATGGGGCTTTTGAGACAGGCACCAGCTGGCTTTTTTGTTCTCAGTTTCAGTTATAGCTTGAATGGGCCTGGAGACTCTACCCTGTTACCACTGGAGATGAGCCCTCCAGAACAGGGCTGAGGCACATTAGCAATACAAATTTCCCCACGAGGTTTCCTGTGCTGCACCTGGCTCTGTGGCTAAAGAGAGGGATAAAGTCTCTGTAACAATTAAACCAGCACCTTTCACATAAGCACTCAGTTCACTAAATACAATCTTATATGAGGAACAAAATACCTAGGTGCCTGCAGTGTAAACATGGCAACTGTTGGACACAGGATATGTCTACCCTGGAATTGGAAAATGTAATTTCCAGCTCAAGTAGACATACCTGCACCATCTCTGATTGAGCTAGTGTGCTAAAAATAGAAGTGTAGCCACAGTGCTGGGAAAGGTTAGCCATCCCAGTAGGTACCTTGGGTCTCAGATGGGATTGTATTTGGGGCAGCTACCCCACTACGGTTACGCTTCTATTTTGAGCATGCTGGGTTGATCAGAGCTACTGCAGAAATGTCGGCTTAAGACATGCCCACAGCTAATGCTCTACAACCTTCAGAGTTGTTTTAGGTCAGCTGTGCTTGCTAAAGCTGGCTGTACATCTAACTCAGAGGTTCCTTATTAAAGGCTGTCCCTCCAGACCAAAATGGACTCAGATTGTCAGTAGGAAATCATGGGCATTCCTTTAGTCACTAGGTTGATACAAGAATAAAGGTAAGCTTGTCTTTCCAGATGCTCAGCATTTTGTGTTTTGTGAATTGCTTAGGTTGAAAAACGAAACGGCAGCCAATGAAGTCCTTGGGAGCATTCAAAACTACTTCAGATCCCAGCCCTTTGAATTTAGGGGTGCTCAAATCATAACTGGGCAAGAGGAAGGGGTGTATGGATGGATTACGGCCAACTATTTAATGGGCAATTTCTTGGAGGTGTGTGGAAAAAATGCATGTTTTATTTTATACTGTTGCTTATGAATCACAAGTTTTGGAGGAGATGCATGTTAAAACAGAGTAGCCATTGGCTCCACATTTCCACCAAAAGTAGATCACAGACAAGCTTTTGCTATAGAAAGAGAATAAAATGAATAGAGTTTTTTATCCTAACTAGGAACAATGGAAATATTTAAAAGGCATGTTGATGGTCAAGGTAGAACTCTTAACAAGATACAGAAATAAGATTCCTGTCTACATGGAAAATCTAATGCTTAGTCTAAACACAAAAATTGTACTACTTCTTCTTCCCCATATTCGATCAACTGGGTCTGGATCGTTGTGCAAGCATTCTCCAGCTTTGTCTGTCCCAGGCAGCCCTAAGGTCCACCTGCTTATCATCTTCTTTAATCCAATCCATCTATCGCTTCCTCAGCTTTCCCAAGGGTCTCTTTCCTGCCACCCTCTCTTGCCAGGCTATCTTCACCAGATCCTCTGTGTATGTCCAAATTAGCAAAGTCATGCTTCCTGGATTTTGTCAGCCACATCCTGGATTTTATCTTCCATCCTAATGCTTTTATTTGTACCATTCTATCTATATCGGCACAGCTAAAGTAGTACAACCCCCTTAGTGTGGATGCAGTTATACCACTGTATAGATCAGGGGTGGGCAAACTATGGCCTGAGGGCCACATCCGGCCCTCCAGACATTTTAATCCGGCCCTCGAGCTCTCGCCGGGGAGCGGGGTCCGGGGCTTGCCCCACTCTGGCGCTCTAGCTGGGGAGGAGGGTCAGGGGCTTGCCCTATTCTGCGTGGCTCCCGGAAGCAGCAGCATGTCTCCCCTCTGGCTCCTATGTGTAGGGGCAGTCAGGGGGCTCTGCATGCTTCCCCCGCCCCAAGCACTGCCCCTGGAGATCCAATTGGCCGGGAACCACGGCCAATGGGAGCTGCAGGGGCAGCACCTGCGGACAGGGCAGTGTGCAGAGCCACCTGGCCGCGCCTCCACGTAGGAGCCAGAGGGGGGACATGCTACTACTTCTGGGAGATGCTTGAGGTAAGCACTGCCCAGAGCCTTCACCCTGACCCCCTCCTGCACCCCAACCTCCTTCCCCAGCCCTGATCCCCCTCCCACCCGCCAAACCCCTCGGTCCGAGCCCAGAGCACCCTCCTGCACCCCAAACTCCTCATCCCCAGCCCCACCCCAGAGTCTGCACTCCCAGCTGGAGCCCTCATCTCCCCCTCTGCCCCAGCCCAGAGCCCTCTCCCCCACCCTGAACTCCTCATTTCTGCCTCCCCCCCCCCCAGAGCCTTCACCCCAAGCCAGAGCTTGCACCCTAATCCCCAATTTCGTGAGCATTCATGGCCCACCATAGAATTTCCATACCCAGATGTGGCCGTCGAGCCAAAAAGTTTGTCCACCTCTGGTATAGATGATTATAGCAGTATAGCTATTTCTGTGTAGGAAAGGGGATAATGTAGACTGATATGTGGCAACTTTATACTAGTATAGCTGCATTCATACTAGGGGTTGTATCAGTTAACTATCTTTGTAAAAATCCCACACTTAACTGACATATTTCAGAGTAGCAGCCGTGTTAGTCTGTATCCGCAAAAAGAACAGGAGTACTTGTGGCACCTTAGAGACTAACAAATTTATTTGAGCATAAGCTTTCGTGGGCTACAGCCTACTTCATCGGATGCATGTAATGGAAAATACAGTAGGAAGATATATTATACAGAGAACATGAAACAATAGGTGTTACTATACACACTATAAGGAGAGTGATCAGTTAAGTTGAACTTTCCTCAGCAGGAGAGGAAAAAAAACCTGTTTGTGGTGGTAATGAAAATGGCCCATTTCCAGCAATTGACAAGGAGATATGAGGAACTGTCCGGGGGGGGGGGGGAATAAGCATGGTGAAATAGTTTTACTTTGTGTAATGGCCCATCCACTCCCAGTCTTTGTTCAAGCCTAACTTAATGGTGTCCAATTTGCAAATTAATTCCAATTCAGCAGTCTCTCATTGGAGTCTGTTTTTGAAGTTTTTTTTGTTGTAATATTGCGACTTTTAAGTCTGTAATTGAGTGGCCAGGGAGACTGAAGTGTTCTCCAACTGGTTTTTGAATGTTATAATTAGGTCCTAATCACATCAGCCACACTATTGTTTCATATTCTGTGTATAATATATCTTCCTACTGTATTTTCCACTGCATGCATCCGATGAAGTAGGCTGTAGCCCACGAAAGCTTATGCTCAAATAAATTTGTTAGTCTCTAAGGTGCCACAAGTACTCCTGTTTTTTTAACTGACATAGTTATACTGGTACAAAATTATGTATAGACAAAGCCTACCTCTAGCTCAATTGTGTATGTGGAATTAGACATACAGCAGTGATCTTCAGTGCTCAGTTGTATTAATTAGAGGTGTTGACTCCCCAAAATATTTGAGAATTATCCTAGTTAATCTTGCTAGAATAAAGTCAATCAATTTCCTGAATGTTATTACTGTTCCCTATTGAACAGTTACTATTGGATCATGACAATTTGCAAAGTGGATTTTGATTATCTTAATCCAAAATAATATTTTGCTCCAAAGACATTTGCAGGAATCAGTCACATAATTCATGATATCAAAATTGCACATCCTGGGACAAATTTTTCCCTCCCTTACATCCGTGCAACAACATTGACTTCATTGAAGGCAGTTTCTTACTACTATGCAGGCCTTTAATGATCAAAACTGTGACTTCCGCTTGGCAAATTCATAGATTTTTTTTTTTTTTTTTTTTTTTTTTAAGGCCACAAGGGACCACAGATGCTGGGAAGCCAGTTGAATACACGGAGTTCAGATGAGTCGAGCTTCGTGAAGAATTTGGCACATAGTGTGAAACTGAAAAAAATTAAACTTTTCACCAGTCTTGTGACACTGGAAAAAGTCTAGGTGTGAAATCCTAGCCCATTGAAGTCAATGGAGCCAGGATTTTACTCTAGGCGTTTGCCTGGAGGTGTTTGCTGGAGCGTGCAGTCTGTTCTCACTTCTCCCTTCCCATCGCAACACAGACTCGTGCAGAATGAAAACTCCTTCAATAAATAATGGCAATATTAAAATAAATCTGTGGATGGTGCATACTTTTCCTTTTGATGACCTGCAGATCCAACAGACGTTTTCCTGTGTTTGTGTGAAAACTGCCAAATAGGTGGCTAGAAAAATCCAAATAACGTCTCAAAAACTGAGAAATGGGTCTTGCTTATAGGCCTACGATGATGGAATTATTTTTAAAATATAAAAATCTTCATAGAAGCTCTCAGGCAGACCCTCAGCTGGTGTAAATTGCCATAGCTCTGTTGACTTCAACAGAGCATTCAGCTGAGGAGCTGGCTCTCTAGCTACTGGGCAGAAACCCATTTTCTGTTTCACAGCGAATTCCAGTTTCAAAAAAATTTCCATTCAGAAATTGAACAAACAAAATTCAAATTAAAAAAATTGCGATGAAATTAAAAAAGTTTTGGGTTGATCAAAAACCTTTGATAAAATGTAAACATTTGGTCCCAGTTTCTACCCTTTTAAACTTTTAATGTTTTTCATGTAAAAAACAACACATTTCATTTTGAAAAGTTGTTTCAAAATAAAAAGGCAAAACTCTCCCTTCTGAAAAGTCGAAACTGGACATATTTTGACAGTACTGAAACACTCGTTTTCTAAACTAAATTTTGTGAAAATGTTGTGCTTTTTCCCCCAAAAATGTTTCAATTTTGATGAAAATGGCATTTTTCATTTTAAAAAAGTGTTTTGATTAAAAATTTCCTGCTGCCAGCTCTACCAACTCTGTTCTTCATTCACTTCTGGCCTGTCTCTTTATTCTTTGCACTGTAGTCATCTCAGACCTTTTAATATTTCATTTCTCCTTTATTAATACTTTACTTACTGTTTGTAAAGTGTTACCGTCAGACTACCTCTGTCAGAAAGAGAGGTGAATATTATCTCCATTTTACAGATGCAGAAAGATTAAGTGATTTGCCCAAGTTCATATACAGAGGCAGTTTCAGAACCAGGATTAGCGGCTGCCTGACCTGTGCTCTGAACACTAAGCCATCTCTCTGAGTTTTAGTTGTGCTGGACCTTTCTTTCATTCTTCAGCTTCATTTCCCTTTGTGAAAAAATATCACCCTAAACTTCAAAACTTCATGAGACAATGCTTTACACACAAGTGAGCTTTTCCTGAGTGCTGTTTTACACTATTACAGATATATTCTAGATTTAAAAATAATTTAATGAGTGAAAGAGCTTGAAGAAGCAGATGACATTTCAAACCTACCTGTTAAATTTTTAGAAAACCCTTTGGAGGAGATGGGTCCATCCTCATGGAGCAGAGACTACGGGTGCGCTTGATCTAGGAGGAGCCTCCACTCAACTATCATTTGTCCCAGAGGAGTGTGTGCAGAACTCCAATAGCACGTTACAGGTGCAGCTGTATGGCTATGAGTACAGTGTGTATACTCACAGCTTCCAGTGTTATGGAAGAGATGAAGCAGAGAAAAGGCTCTTAGCCTCACTTGTGCAGGTACATTCAGGAACTATGTTGTTCGGTTTGTATTCAGTAACTCTCTGAACATGTTCTCTCTTCTGCCATAAATTCTTATTGCAGTATGGCTTAGAGGCCTCAGTTAGGGCCCTATTATGTTAATTGCTGTACAAAACATATTGGGTTCATTTTATACATTTAGCCAAACTGAGTATCGCTTATTTTTCTTTTCTTTTAATGTCTCTTTTTGAGGATAGTTTTGTAATTGTGTTTAATTATTTTTCAGTTAATGCCTTGACCCCTTAGGACAGTGGCGCTCAACCTTTCCAGATTCCTGTACCCCTTTCAGGAGTCTGATTTGTCTTGTGTACCCCCAAGGTTCACCTCACTTAAGAACTACTTGCTTACAAAATCAGAAATAAAAATACAAAAGTGTCACTGCACACTATTACTGAAAAATTGCTGACTTTCTCATTTTTACCATATAATTCCAAAATAAATCAATTGGAATATACATATTGTACTTACATTTCAGTGTATAGTGTGTATATATAGATCATTTTACGTAGCCTGTTGTAAAACTAGGCAAATATCTAGATGAGTTGATGTACCCCCTGGAAGACCTCTGCGTATCCCCAAGGGTATGTGTACCCCTGGTTGAGAACCACTGCCCTAGGAGTCAGGCTATTCAGCTGTTTTGTATAATGAGAATGGGTCCATTGTTAAAACTTAACCTGTACGTCTACTTTGTTCCCTCTGCCAAGAAATAGTCTGCTAAGCAATTAAACTAGACATGTGAATCTTTGCTTTATTTCACAAGTGCATTCTGTGAGATATTCTTGTTATGGCAGAGAGGAGAAGGGGAGAATATAAACATATATGGTTAAAATACTATTAATTGAAATTAAAAGCTTTCCTGTTAAGACAAAAAAAATTACTGTTTCCCTCAGAATTCAAGAAACAAGACCAAGGTTGATAATCCATGCTATCCCCAGAACTATGAAACTGTTTTAACAATGAAAAGTTTGTATGGAAGCCTTTGTACGGTATCTCTAAGGCCAACAAATTACAACCCAGGCCAACTCATAAATTTCAGGGGAACTGGAGACCCAGCTCTGTGCCAAGAGAAGGTGTCCTTATTGTTTAACTTCACTGCTTGCAATGACAAGGGGGAAGACTGTTCATTCAATGGAGTCTATCAGCCAAAGCTTAAAGGGAAGTTTGTGGTAAGTCTGCAAGCACAGTGTTCCGTTTTGCAGCATTTCTTCCCTACCTCTGATTTATATAGGATCTTGAGAATAAAGTGCCTTTCATCTGGTTTTATTTATAGGCCTTTTCAGGATTCTACTATACAGCCAATGCTTTGAATTTAACTGGACGCTTTCCCCTAGCTGATTTTAATTCAAGTATGTGGTTTTTCTGCTCACAGAACTGGAGTCAGGTCAGTATGAATTTTCTGCATTTGGAAAGGGAAAAGATCAAGGAGCATGTCCCATAGAACTATGGGAAACTGAACCACCTCTGTTCACAGGGATTCATGTGAATACATTTTTAAAAGGTTCATATGAATTCTTGCCTTCCTTTCCCATGAGTTTCAAGTTCACTCCAAACTATAAAATAATCCTAGGGTACTTAAACCATGGCCCAGGTTCATGAAACTTTTCCATGATCCTGGGTTGAGTTTCCTACTTGTAGTGAAAAAAGGAACTAGGCACAATGCAAATGTTTTCTATTTCATTCTGTGAGTCTTGTGCACCTGTCATGTCACATCACAGCAAATGGAGCATATTTTTGCCAGAAAGAAACAAAGGGCTTGACTCTCATCTATACTCAGGATCCTTTATACTGTTCTGGCAACATAGAGAGGCCTTAAAGTGGGTAAGTGGTGTAAAAGAGCCTTACTGTAAATAAGAATCAGGCCCAGTTCTCCAGGAAAAACTCTTGTACTGAACAATCTAGATCTTTACAGTTATTAGTCTACAAATGAGGACATTTTCAGGAAGACCCTTTTTTGCTGAACTTGTATATTGAATGTCAGCTCAGTGGTTACGGAATCGGTGATCACACATGACCAATTTACAACTTCAAGGTGAAAGTTTTAATGCTACATCTACACGTGCAGCTGGTCATGTGATTCCCAGCTCGAGTAGACATACTCACACTAGCTCTCATTGAGCTAGCAGGCTAAAAGTGTAGTGTAGCCGCAGTAGCGTGGGCCGCGGTGAGCAGCGGCAAGGGCTAGCTGCCCTGTGTTCAAACCCACTTGGATCCCATGGATATATACTCGGGGCAGCCAGTCCATGTACTCCAGGTGGCCAGTCCATGCTGCCACTTGCCACTGCCCATGCTACCAGTGCTGCAGCTACTCTCTTTTTAGTGAATCACACCCCCAGCTCTAAGTATAGATGTAGCCTAATTGAAGCCTCTCCCTGGCACAAAACTACAATATTAGTTCTATACGGGGATTGGTCCTGCTTTGAGCAGGGGGTTGAACTAGATGATCTCCTGAGGTCCCTTCCAACCCTGATATTCTATGAAATAAGTACTACATATAATGTGTTTCAGTATTTGCTTTTTAATTCGGTTGTGACAATCATGGTCCAGACACCCCAGGGGACAACAGAAGATTTAAACCACAAAAAATAAGCAGTTAAATCAACTGATTGTTGCCAGTGTTGTTGTACTACACAAATATATTGAGTAAGGTCTTTTATGAAAGCTTGTAGTGTTCTGAACTCGATGGTCATTCTGAGGTGTGTGTGTGTGTGTGTGTGTGTGTGTGTGATTATCATTGTAACTGTGGTGTAACTCCAGCCTCACCTCCGAACAGGGCAGGGAAGCAATCAGGTGAGAAGGGGCTACCTCCCTAACCAGAGGAGACCAGTTTTAAGAACCCATCTATTGGTCCAGCTCAGGAAAAAACTATGGTGGACCATTAGAGTTAATGGAAAGACATTTAGACAATTGGGGATTTCCCCCACTTTTTGAATATCTATAGCGACTGAAGGAAAAAACCTGAAAGTCTTCTAAAATGGAAGGGGGTTGAAGTGAAAGGTGTCCAGAAACTGAGGGACAGTCACTTGGTGCGGGTGCTGTCCGTGAAATGCTGGATCTTTCCTCTGGCTAGGGGACATGCTGGAAAACCGTTCACAGGCAAAATAACTTTTATTAGAAAAGTGATTTTCTCTAATGTGAAAGTATAAAGCCTGAGGTTCTGTCTTTGTTTTTTTACTATGTAACTTATATGTTTGCTCTCCCTTGCTATTTCATCTTTGAATCTGTGGCTTTTCTGTTAAACAAATCTTTCATTTATTTTTACCACAAGCAAACTGTATGCAAACTGGTATACAAACTGTGTATGTGTGCGGGGGGGGAGGGCGGAAGGGGGAGGGGAAGAGAGAGAGAGTGAGAGTGTGTGTCATAGTGAGCTGGTGTCTGGGGGGCTGGTTTCACACTTTTGGGATGATGAACCAAAGGGGAAAAGTCTGAGTGCCTGGTAGTTAAGAACTTGGGGAGGATGAATTTGGGGAAACCTGGGACTGGAAGGGCTGCTGGTGTCACCCTGCAAGGAGTAACCAGGTGCTGAAAGCCAGGGTAAGACCTTGTGCGTGTGGGCTACTGGTGTCAGGGGTCTGAACCAAAGCTGCATGAGGGCACCAAACGTTACAGGGAAGGCAGTGACAGAACCACTTGCTGGTCTGGGTTGGTCCCCAAATGTCACATAGGTGTCTGCTCTTTGTTGCTGGTAGTTGTAGGGAAGGAAAACTGACGCTTATTAGTGTACCTACCTATTGCAATGGAATCATTAGAAATTACTTATGTCCTTTATGGTTTGTAATATCCAAGAAGAGCCCTTGAGACAGGGAGAGCCTCAGTATTACAGGGTTTTTTTTTTTTTTGCTTGTTTCTTTTGAGGAGAGGAGAGAGAGTTTGCTTACTAAGAGCCATTATCTTGATGTAAGGATTCAATGCAATAAATCCAGAAACAACTAGACTTCTCTTTGTACTAAGTGTACTTTGTACACTTTGTACTTCATCCTACTCGAGATTAAGTCAATGGCAACATTTCCATTAACTCAGATGGGAGCAAGATTGGGCCTGGAGGCAGATTTATTCTTCATCGAGGTCAGCAGGAGAATGAGCATAATTTAGAGTGGTCCTTAAATTTGAAACCTGCAGTAAAGCTATGCTGGGCCCCAAAGTGGCACTCTGCCATCTGTCATATTGCTATTTCAGACTGCAGTGCTCTGTGCTCTGTATTGCTTGGTATTTTTCCTCTGGTTTTAAAGTGGTTTTTGTGGTGGTGGTGGTGGTTTTTTTTTTTTTTTTTTTTAATGGGTTGCAGTGCTTGTACCCTTCAGGTCACTTCACTGTCCTCATAGCCCCTCTGGCCCTCACCAGCACCCTGGTCACTGATAAATGAAGTGGGGGATCATAACTCTTCATGCATAACTTTGTACTCAAACTGTTACCACACTGGATACCTTGAGAGCATCCCACTCCAAAATGATCACCAAAAAACACCCCACTGATATGCACAGTATTTGACTTACAGGACTTTTTGTCTCAAGCAGCCATACTTTCTCTGAACCTAGGGTGACCAGATGTCCCGATTTTATAGGGACAGTCCCAATTTTTGGATCTTTTTCTTATATAGGCGCCTATTACCCCCACCACCACCACCACCCTCATCCCGATTTTTCACATTTGCTGTCTGATCACCCTATCCGAACCTCTTGTCAAATCCGTACTTCTGTACTGCATTAGCATATCCTGCAGACGATATTCTGATTTTAGCTACATCCATGTAAATCCTGAGTGACCTCAATGGCGTTATTTCAGATTTACACTGAGGTAGCTGAGTCCACAAACTGCCCCTGTGTTCTCTGCTAGCGCTCCAAACTATAATTTTATGTCCTTATGATCTGATCACTTGTTGTCACACTTAGGATGACTGTGCAATCTTCTTGAAGACCTTGCCCCTGAAATTTATTACCACAATTTTAGATATGCTACAAGATCAGATAGAAAATGTAGACCGGGGTAGGCAACCTTTCAGAAGAGGTGTGCCAAGTCTTCATTTATTCACTCTAATTTAAGGTTTCACGTGCCAGTAATACATTTTAACGTTTTTAGAAGGTCTCTTTCTATAAGTCTATAATATAGAACTAAACTATTGTTGTATGTAAAGTAAATACGATTTTTAAAATGTTTAAGAAGCTTCATTTAAAATTAAATTAAAATGCAGAGCCCCCCGGACCGGTGGCCAGGACCCGGGCAGTATGAGTGCTACTGAAAATCAGCTCGCGTGCCACCTTCGGCACGCGTGCCATAGGTTGCCTACCCCTGATGTAGACTAACAATTTCAATCTTTCATGCAATTTTTATTTTTAATTATTGTTTACAGTACAAAATACGTCAACAGCACAGTCACTTCCAATTAAATCACCATGTCTATTTGCTTACAATAATATTTTTCTTAGGATGCTTCTGAAAACAGCTGGTAAGTGCTAATCAGATTGGGAATTGTAGTTTATGCAAGTCCTTAGTTAAAAAAAAATTTTTGGTATTTTAATTTACGTGTTGATCCTATTTATTTTTATTTGTCAGCTTCCATTTATGCTGCCTAAGTTTGAAGAAGCATATGCTAGATCCTACTGCTTTTCAGCAAACTACCTCTATTACCTGCTTGTACATGGATATAAATTTAACACGGAGACTTGGCCCCAGATACATTTCCAAAAAGAAGTGAGTATTAATTAATTTTTTATTATTATTATAACATGAAGAAGAATTTGGAAAATGGCGACAGAAGGACATTTTACCTTGCAAATACATACTGATTGTGGGCAGCGTCTGTAGAAGATTTTTAGATATTTAAAGCTAAGTAAGAGCTGTGTCTTTAGCTCCAATGCCAACTCCTAATGATTCTGGTGGTGACAATATGATTCAGTGCTCCTAGATTCTTTAGACTATTAAAGAGAGTGAGATGAAAAAAATCTGCTCTCTATTATGCCTGTGCAAATCCACTGAAGTCACTTGGGCTGCACAGTGGTGTGTAATAAGATGGCAATCTTTGCCTGAAACACCTTGCCACAACCAAGTGAGTTCTGTTGACTCACTGTGTGGGAGATAACTTGTTACCACCTGGATATAGGGGAGGTGGGACTGGCTATCTGGGGAGAGAAGATGTAAGGCATGATCTGAGCAGTCCTGAAGGAGGGACCATATGAATAGCTAAGCCTAGTGGGGAGATGATTTCAGATAATCTTTATCTTATTACTCTTCTTCATTAACAGCCAAACTCCAGGGTGGTGGGTGCGAGTTTGGACTTTACGTACTCTGTCTGTAGAGCAGTTTGAGAAAGATGTCCGCTCACAGGATGGAACTGAGCAGAGTTTGGCCCAATGTGTAATGATCTACCCAGATGGAATCCCACTGAAATCAACTGGACTCTCTACAGGTACCAGGATCTGCCCATAAAAATCAAATGGCAGGACTGGGGCCTAAATGAGGGCACTGAAAAGCAGGCCTCTACATTGTCTTGTTTCTTAGGGTTGCTGGGGTGATTGACTCGTAGGTTTTATTACTTTTAATGAAGTGTAGAGGACAGGACTGTAAACAAACTTTCTGCACCCACCGCCATTTAGATTCGGTGACAGTTACAGCAGTGTTTCCTCTGAGTAATTAGACTCAGCTATGCTGTGATCCCTTCCTTCCCACTACAAGTCTTATTTCTGCAACTTGTTTCAATCAGATTTGTAAACTCTTCAGGGAGCTTTCAAATGGGTTAGCACTGGCCCATTACAATATGAGGTAACACAAAATGAAGAGGAGTGCAGATACTGTACAATAAGAGTAATCCTCTCACTGCACTTGAGAACAAGACATCAAGAAATTCTGAGCAAGATTTTTCTAAATAGCAGAGTGCCATCATTTGAGCAAATCCATCAGTATACAGAAGGAAATAATTACACTGCCTTCCTTGCTTTACCATGTAGGGGCCAGCTACCAGAAGATCTCGAAGTGTTTGCAGTAGGTAAATTAACTCCTATGCAAAAGGCCAGCACGAGGGTTATTTTGAGGTCTTTAACCAGAACGTCTCTGTTGCATAAGCCTTGTATTGGTCCTCAGCACAAGGTTGAATTTCACTTATGATTGTTCTCCCCAGGCCAGCAGCACAGAAAGTACTGATCCAAGTATCAGGGGGTAGCCGTGTTAGTCTGTATCTACAAAAACAACAAGGAGTCTGGTGGCACCTTAAAGACTAACAGATTTATTTGGGCATAAGCTTTCGTGGGTAAAAACCTCACTTCTTCGGATGCATAGAGTGAAAGTTACAGATGCAGGCATTATACTGACACATGGAGAGCAGGGAGTTACTTCGCAAGTGGCGAACCAGTGTTGACAGGGCCAATTCAATCAGGGTGGATGTAGTCCACTCCCAATAATAGATGAGGA